TCTGAATCAGAATTAAGTGAGACTGGATCACTTGACCGAGCAATGGCAACTCTGGAGAGACGCAGGAAAGCAGCCGTAGAGGGCGCACCACAGGCACCTGTTGAAGTGACAAGATTGTTCCCAGAGAGCGTTATCGATGAAATATTGAGATCCGTCAATTTAGAAGAAGATGAATCAGGTACCAGTAGCATACCGTCATCATGGAAAGATGGTGGATTTCTTAGTTTATTTAATTGCTTTAATGTCAATAAAATAATCGCATGAAAGGTGCATTGTACATATATACACATCTTTGGCATATTTTTCTGTCGTTCAATATAACAATTCTCACAGTAGCCCCAGAAGCACGTCTGTGCCTTGATTGTTTAATAATAAAGTTTTGTTAATTACCAAAGCTGAAACAAAAATACTATACTACACTATATTTTTTAAAATTGACCCCTCTCTCAAAACTTGCCAGATTTCTGACTGTTGGATATGAAGTTCAGTATGTTAATACCAAAAGATTCTGTTGGACCTGAACCTGAGCCAGTTCCATCCATCTCTGATTGCCACAATGTATTGGCATTTCTCCGATCATCTTAAATTTATCCTTACATCTTTCTTGTTTCTCGTACTTTATTTCAGTAGATCATATCACTGATCAGTTCATGGAAAAGCAGTAATTGTAAGATCTGTTTCAGTTACTACTTCATATTGTCACAATGTAGTTATGATAATGGGAAAGCTGTCTTTGTGCTTAAGCTCCATATCATGAAGACATTGAAGGAGAGGAGTGGAAGTAAAACTTCACTCATTCTTGACTTTGATATTAGATGGAGATGAGTGATCCTTCTTATGCTGTGCCTGCTTAACCACTCAGGAAAGAACCCCTATTATTTCCCATTTTATAGGAAGCTGCCTGGGCCTCACCGCTGGTGAAGACATGATGGTAAAGACCAGAATCACTATTCTTCCTGAGAATCAAACTCTATTCAATCAGCCAAATTTCTGAAGTAAAATACAGCATCAAATATGTCTGATCCCTTCATGTTTCAGAATGAAATGTTCTGCTGAGCATTCTGTCTTCCTTGCTTTTGTTCAGTAATTATGCTGCGCTATTATATGGTGATTTTAAATGAAACATGGGGTGATGTTATGAATCGCAGTCCTACACTCATTATTCTAAGAATTCTTAGCAATATAACTACTGAGTCAGTTTTTATAGCAGTAACAGACTGGACTTGTATTTGGGAGGTACCTGTTTATAATTTTTGATGGGCTACTGACTAACTGAAATGAGGTCTCCTTCAGTTTCTCCAGTGCTTGCACAACTCATGACCATCTTCTTACCCGCCTCCATTACTGATGTTGGACGACCACGCGTAGTGCTATCATTACTTCCAGCACAATAAACAAACGACTAGTGTTGAAGGGCATGTTGTCATTGTGCTTTCCCGAGTCCCCACCAGATGTTCGTATTGTAAGCAAATTCCAGTTTTTCCAACTTGGGCGCCGTGTTAGTTATGCGTGGTGACCCGTTTTAATTTGACTGCCCCTTATACACCAAAGAATGCCTACTTTCGGCAAGGTAAAATTTCATCACATTACTGGAACAGTGTGAGATTTTTTAAATACCCATTTACATGGAATATAGGATGTAGCAGAAATTTCAAACATCTACCCTGATTTCCTAACCTATGGCAACTAGACTTTTACTTATGGGGAAGTGTGTGCCTGTGTGCCAGAAAGCCCACTGGAGGACCTGAAGACTTGAGAGTGAATTTGTCTGTATGTCTGTTTCTCCAGTAGTATGCCTACAAGTTGGTCTGTCTAACATACCTCACTGTCAGCAGAGCATCAGTGTTGATGGTGGGCATTTTGAACAGTTCAGAATAGTAGACATTTTACCTTTTTAGTGTTAAGGAATAATGAATAATATAAATACATTTTTTGGTACACTCTGTTGTTGTGATCATGGATGTAATTTATTGCACAGATTTGCGTTTAAATATTTTAATGTGGTTTTTGAGCATGATCATAACACAAATACTGCATGAATCAAATTCATCCATTGCATTTGATTGTTCCTTTTTGTCTTCTCTCTGTCTCTCTCTCTCTGTGTGGGCTTAATAGGTCTCCATCTTGGCCAGTGTGGATGCCTCAGTTACCCCCCATTCTTTCTCCCACTACCCACAGAGAGGTCCCTACCTCACGCACCACATTTGTCATGGATACCTCCTGGAGTCGATTCTTGTCATGCAAGAGTCCCATGACTTCTCGATCAAAACAGAATAATGTAGGTGACTCATCTTTGAGGAGTCTCATATCCCCTTCATTGGCAGATGTGTTCCTGAAGCTTCCTCCTCCAGCATTTTATGCCAACTACTCTTCTGCCAGTGGCACTGTAACTCCCTCCATCACAGCTTATATACCACCAGGAACTCCACTTCACTTCCCACCCTGGGGTTCACCTCTCCTTACTCCTATGCTTCCTCCTCTGCAGGCGTGCTCCATGAACACAATCGTAGCTCCCGAAGAGGCAGGTCAGCAAATTCATTCTTCAGCAAGAACCACAGACACAGGTAAGGGTCATGATTGGACAGTCATATTTTGTGATAATTTTTTGTTGCTGTGTGGCTGGTATTTGTGTTGTACTTGCTTTGGTATCTTTAAGATGGGTAGGACTTTGAAACAGGAGTATGCTACTAGTACAGCAACTTATTTGTACACCAAGTTCACTAATAAATAAATAAAGTGAAGTTATTAGGTAATGTTAACTAAGGTTGATTTGTTATTTAAGTTAATGTATTTTACATTCAATCTTGTGAGGGAACAATGTATTAATGTTAAAAAGAGTAAACAAATACAGTCAACTCTCGATTATCCATGGGAAGATTAACCGGTTTGCGGCTTAACCGGGGCTACTGAGGCTTATATGTTGTTTAATATTCATTCACTTTTGTTTCATATGGCGAGTTGTAACACTAGTTTGGCACTAGTGTGAACCGAGGTCTGCATTTTTTGGTCCCGTTGTGCTAACACAGTGTTCTAGGGTAGGGGTGAAAGAATGCAAGGATTTGTGGAAAGTTTCAAAGACAGATACATCGCCCCAGTTAGTATCTTTGTATCGATCTTCAAGTGTGTTAGCAAAATGTCAGGGTGTAAAAGGAAGCGTGTTGTGTTAAGTATTCAAAAGAAAAAGGAAAATGCCGTCAAAAAGTAAAAACAATATTATTATTTTTATGTGTTAATATTCGTAAAAGGTGTTGGATGTTGGTGAAGACTGTGATTGAAATAACTAATTCATACTTCAGTGTAATGTAGAAAAAGTATTAAATAGGCCATGAGATGACATAAAAATGAGGTTGAATAAATTTAAATACAGGCAGGCCTATAGTATTATGAAGGTACAGTATTACAGTACTACTTTTAATAAAATTTGTCTTAACCGGGTTTTCAGTTAATCGAGATTTCCATCCCCACCATTATCCCGGATAATCGAGAGTTGACTGTATTATAAAATGTTAAACATTAATCAGGCAATTTGGAAGGTTCACAGTTGTATAAATGCAAATATGTCTTGGGTAATCAACCACGTCCATATAGAGTAAAAGTCTTGCATTTTGTAGATTGTGTCTTCCTCCATCATCAGTGTCTGATGATACAGGCTGAGACAGTCTCCAAGATGTCAGACCTTTAGTCTGTATTCAGTGTAGCCTTGCATCTGCAACCCTTAGCTGCCAGGCCACTAGGCAAACTAAATTTCTCATAATGCTGATTAGAACATTTATTACTACTAGTACATGACCAAGAGCTGAGATAGCACAGTCCATATAGCGACTGGCTACGGGCCGGATGACCAAGGGGTCAGAGTTGAAGTCCTGGTGGAGGCAAGAATTTTCACTTCTCCATCTAGAATACTCTGGGTGTTTGAGAATGAGATGTTGAGTATAATGAACCCCTAAAAGAGAGGAAATAATAAGTGGGTGGAAAGTGTTGCATAATGAGGAGTTTTATAATTTATGCTCTTTGCTAAATATTATTAAGGAGATGAAATCGTAGAGAATTAGACGATTGGGGCTTCTAATATGCATGAGATTGGTGAGAAGTGTATCCAAAATTTGGTTGGATAAATGTCAACTTCTAAAGAAGGTCTCTACTTCAAAAAGTAGTTAGTTGAAACAGTTTTAAACTAGAAACTGTTGCAGTGTGTATTTAAATTGTACTGATGTTTTTGTTGCAATATATCTAATGTGTATCTCATTTTCATCCTATTTATTAGTTGTTACTGAAAGAGATGAAGCCTCGTTAAACAACATAAAATAGAAACAGTAAATTGAGATGACTTACGAATGATCATGCATGCTTTCCTTACTTTTTGCCTGTCCCACATTATTGAAGCAGCAGAAAATATGGCTTAACCTGGGACTATTCTGGAAGTGCTTAGAAGTATTGCATTGTATGTTATCAGAATGGTGATTTTATGACCTTGATGAATGTAAAGAAGAAGCGTTTAGTTTCTTTGTGTTGTACGGATGCTACTATCATTTGTACAGTTGTGAAATGAGCAGCACTATTAATAGTATTCAGGGTGTTCAGTTGTTAGAGATTTGTGTTTATTATTCTAGAAATTCAAGTTCTGAATCAGAATTAAGTGAGACTGGATCACTTGACCGAGCAATGACAACCCTGGAGAGACGCAGGAAAGCAGCCATAGAGGGTGCACCACAGGCACCTGTTGAAGTGACAAGATTGTTCCCAGAGAGCGTTATCGATGAAATCTTGAGATCCGTCAATTTAGAAGAAGACGAATCAGGTACCAGTACCATAACGTCATCATGGAAAGATGGTGGATTTCTTAGTTTATTTAATTGCTTTAATGTCAATAAAATAATCGCATGAAAGGTGCATTGTACATATATACACATCTTTGGCATAGTTTTCTGTCGTTCAATATAACAGTTCTCACAGTGGCCCCAGAAGCACGTCTGTGCCTTGATTGTTTAATAATAAAGTTTTGTTAATTACCAAAGCTGAAACAAAAATATTATATTACACGATATTTTTTAAAATTGACCCCTCTCTCAAAACTTGCCAGATTTCTGACTGTTGGATATGAAGTTCAGTATGTTAATACCAAAAGATTCTGTTGGACATGAACCTGAGCCAGTTCCACCCATCTCTGATTGCCACAACGTATTGGCATTTCTCCGATCATCTTAATGTTATCCTTATATCTTCTTTGTTTGTCGTACTTTATTTTAGTAGCTCATCCATGATACGTATGTAATGGCCATTTTGTAATGCACTCAGTTTCATATGTCACTTCTTACTACATGTTTCAGCAACTATATGCCATCTTCAGGTTCGTTATTTACGCTAAGCTATTACATTGTTTCCCATCTTGTGTCTTTCACAAAATTATTTAGAAAGTACAGTATTTGTCAACTATAATAAAATTTGTATATACAAAAATTTAAGATTATTCATCTATATGTCTTAATTCAAACTCGTGTATAGTATGGTTTGTCCACTATGGGAGTCGTTTCTGTGTGTACTGTGTCTGTTATATGTCCTTCCTTTTTGGCTGCGAGCGTTTTATGAAAGATACAAGATGGCAAACAATGTAATATCTTAGCGTAAATAACAAACCTGAAGACGGCACTATGTTGCCGAAACATATAGTAAGAAGCGACATATGAAATCGAGTGCACTACAAGATGGCCATTACATACGTATCATGGATGAAAA